GTTTTCCGTCATTGTAATTTTTCCAATGCAGCTTAAGCAAGACTTGACGCTGTTGCCAACTGCCCAGTAATTATTTTCATACATACATACATTTAGTACATAAATATGTACATACTCAGCTGCATTTGCATTTTGTACGTGTTCAGCAGAGAAATTTCTTGCATTGTTCATGTTTTCATTGCAAGCCATATTTATTCCAATAARTCGGATTTATGACAAAATTTAAGATTTTTCGTTAATTTGCGGTATAATTATTACCTAATTAACTAAAAACATAATTTTATTCGTTAAATGTATATGATATATGTATGTATATATTTCACTTATTCGYACTTAATTCCTTCACCGACTAGTACTCTCCTCAAATAGCCCACATCAAAACTAGTTCGCAAACCACCCACTCTCAGGCCTGTGCGAGCAGCAGCCACTCTGTCACTATGTACAAGTTACCTAACCCTCAAACTTAAATAACACGTACGCTGACATTCATATGTAAATACCTACATACATACATTTGTACGTAACTATATGTAAAATGCATTCACTACATATACCTGAGTGTACGTGCCAGCGAATGTGAGTTAGCATTTAATATAAGTGCTCGCTCATCTTCACTTTCAATATTTACACAAACACACTAACATAGGTATGTTACTGCACATACACCACACACTACCAACTTACATTTCGCTGAGTATGTGCAGCTATAAGTAAACGTTGGAATAAGCGAGTATATAAATGTTAAAGCAAACGAGCAAATGTCACGAAAGCACGTTGGCGACACGCCAACCAAGAAAGAACGGCTGATTTCCAGCTGAGTTGCCAGGTGATTTCGTCGCATGCTTACTGTTGTAGCGCACATACATATATATTTGACGTGCATACCCAACTCACACTGACGCATTGCACTTGTTGTACAAACAGAAAAGTCAGCTGTTTTGTGTAAACAGCTGTTAGCCTGCACTAGCTGTAGCGAAGTTTGCTTTTGCTCAGAGGTTTTGTATGTGTGCATTTTGTATTTGCAGCGCCTGCGCTTTTCGTGCTGTTAAAGTGTATGCGCTCTCATCAGAACGCGTGAACAGCGTTAATCGCTGCAAATGTGATTGGTTTACAGCAAACTGTTGAACGCTGTTAACGGCTGTTACATGCTGTTTACGCCTCTGAAGTGCTGTTGTTGGCTGTTAAGCACTTCTAAAGGCTGTTAAGGTTGCTATATGCTGTTAACGGCTGTTGGCACTATTCACGGCTGTTAAACGCTGTTAACGCCTCTCATACGCTGTTTACTCTGTTAAGCACTGTTATGGCTGTTAAATGCTGTTAGCGACTGTTAACAGCTGTTCGGCTGCAAGTGTGCTATATGCAGGTGTTGTTGTCGTGTGTGCCTGCTGCTGTTTTCACTTTCGCTGATTGTCAGCTGTTGACTACCCCTTTTTTTACTTTATTTCTAACAGTGCACTGCCTGTCTCTTATACACATCTAGATGTGTATAAGAGACAGGAATAGCAAACAAAAGAGTATGGTCAATAGCTCTGTGACAACAAACAGGAATAAAATAAATTACAAAAACAACACATATTANTGTGTTTTGTGTGTGTTTACAGCGGCGTAGTTTGTTTTGCGGCATGTAAATAAAAGCGCTGTTACCGCGACCTTAGCACACTCCTCTGCTGTGTGGTAACAGTATGTTGGAGTATGGGTTGTGTGTTGGCGCACAGCTGTTTCTTATTTACATATCAGCTATATATACAGCGCTATGTATAGGCTATGTAAGTGAGAAAGTAGCCGGCCGGTATAATGTGCGCATGCTGACTTCGAAGTACCGTGGAAAATGTATCAAGTGAATTTGGTAGCAAAAAAGACAAGAATATTGACATTTTGAAGGAAATTTTTGCGGAAATTATAGGATTGTGGCTAAGTGATTAGTAAATTAGTGTTTTGTGACGAGAATAGCAGATTTTAGAAAATAATATTTTGAGAAATAATACTTTATCTTGGTGTACTGCGGTTCGGTTGCAATAATCGCGTTCCGATGACAAATTTCGTAGCAACGCCACATTTCCCAGCGCATACGCCTATAGCGACAATTATGCCTTGCCGACAGCGCTGTATGTATATGTTTGTGTGTGTGTTTGTATGTATATAATAGAAGCAGCTGCCAGCTGAAATCGTTTTCTCCATTAATTTGTAACGCAAGTTTTTCTCACAGCACACGTTCGGCTTTAAGCAGGCCGCCTACTAGCTACCGATAATATTTTCATTTTAATTCTAATTTATACACATTTCGAATGATAAACAAAGCAACTTGTCAATTGCCAGAAAAAGAAAATCTAATGAATTGTTCTGTTCTCCGCTTTCAATCGATAGACTGGGCGAGTCCGCTAACGCCACCACCACCAACAACCACACAGTTACCAACCGGCAATCATACGACTAGCGACAACGTTGTGCACAATCAACGCAACAACAGCAACAACCATAGCTTAAGCAATAAACAACAGGCGAGCGGAGAGCAGCAGCAGGACGAAGCGTTGCAGCCAGCGCTGCAGCTGTACGCTGAGGACGCCATAGCGGGCGGTGACGTAGTGGACGGCGGCAATTGGTCGGCGCCACAGCAGGCACACCACAAACGAGCACATCACCACGAGCAGCGACATTTCTACTATAACAATCACCATTACGGTGGCGCGCAACACAACAATCACCACCAATATCACCAACAACATCACCACCACCACCAACCACACTACAATCACTTGGCACATCACGACAACAATTACCAACATTATCAAGTGGCACAGCAGCAACAACAAAAATACTATAGTGAACAAAAACGCGCCACACAAGCGCAGCAAAAGCAAAAAACACCGCCGTTACCGACGACCAACACCAAACAAGCGGCTATGGAGGCCACTTATAACAACAATTTGTTCTACTATGAACCACCAGTAGCGGCCGGCATCACACCGACAGGCTCACCCACAACGGGTAGTTGTTTCGGCAGCGCCACTACCGATGTGGACATAGCCGCGGTCAATGAGCTGGCGCAGCGCGTGCAGACGGAGTTGCGGGATGCGAAGAAGCGCCACCTGGACTGCACCGAGGTCTCGCTGCCATTTGATCTCATGCCGCGCATAGCGGCCGAAATAATTAAGGCTTCGGAGCGGGAACCGTGTGGGGTGCGCGGCTGCTCGCTGTACATCGACTTCGAATGCGAGCCGAGCAATGTGCGGTGAGTGTGTTGGCAATAAAATTTAGTTATAAAACATTATTAATGTAAGCTAACATAAGTGTGGCTGAAACAGCACGTTAATCTTAACTGCGGTCAAACGGTAGAGTTTGCCGAAACTGATCCCCGTAAATGTGATACGCTGTAACGACGCTGGCGCATAAGCAGTTTTTAGTTGTTTATAGGTATCACATTGGACCGGCGCGCTAAGTTGTCCAAGTGAGATTCTACTCTGAGTGAAATTCCACCCCAATTGAGATCCCATTCCAATTGAGACCCCACTCCAAATGAGATCCATCCCACTTAGCATCGATCAGCCAACCTAACCTAACCTAACCATAAAAAAAAATGTTAATAATTTTATATTTTGCCATACTCACACGCTGTTTTCACCGATTTCTTCCACAGACGCATTGCCTCTTTCAAAGTAGACGACTGCACTGTCTCCACCTTCGAGCTGTATCTTACGCTGAAGCAGGACAAGAGCGGCTGGACTTCGCTGTTGCCACAATTTATCAAGTATGTATACATACCTTCTCGATAATATTTTCATTGCTTTTTCTACTTCTTCGTTCGTTTTAATTGTTATTCAACCTTTATGAAAATATTTTCAAACAAGTCTTTTGTCTCCATTGCAGAAACCTAACACGCAGCAATACCATTTTGATAAGCCCCGATTTCACGTTGACCAAGAACAAGCTCTACTCCTGCGATTAGTGGGCGTAAGCGTGCTTGCGCCAGCTTGTTCCAGTTTATTCCAGCTGCGTTTGTTTGCGAGAGGAGAGTTCTATTCTTTTTTTTTTTTTTAAACACATGTATACATACATAACCCAGCCAGCGATCTCATTTATTCTCCTAAGCGCAAACACACGTCAAAATTTACAACAAGAATGTGGCGAAAAATACACAACAACATGGAAGGACTTTGAACGAAGGGCAACCGAAATTGGTCAATTGCGTATTAATAGCAATTTTATGTGCTATACATACATACACACATACATATATGTTTTTGTTTTCTAATAATTAAATGGGCGTGGCTTTAACTACAACTACAAAGAAGAAAATGAAGTRAACAACAAACAATTACTACAACAAAACCAGGAACAACGCATAACGAGAATACTTTACTTTCTCAACAATCCCTCCGAATTTCATTATTTTAACTGAACACCAAGAGAACCACGAAACAAGCAGTCGCAAGAGGCAAAAAATAACAAAAGCAAAATGCTAAAACGTTTACATAACGGCGAGGATGAGGATGAGGCGAGCAAGCAGTGATTGAGAAAGTGCGTAAGCAAWGCAAAATTTGCAAAATTCGCGAAAAGTTTTCACAAAATTTCACAAAAAATGCAATAAACATGGAATACACACGATTTTCTTTGCGTTAAACAGTAAATAAAGCAAACATTTCGTAACAATAGCAACAACAACAGAACATACGAACTCAACTACAATAAAACTGGAATAAAAGGAAAAAGAAAATCAAATCAAAAGCTAATAAGAGAAATACAATAATAGCAGCAAGAACCTTAAACAATACAACTAACAACAGCAACAACAACAAACAACAACAGCAACTGCATATGCAGTTACCAGGCACTTAATTTGGACTGAGCACTGGAAAAAAAGCAATGGAAGGCAGATGGCGGAGTTAAAGGAGTTAAAAGCGCAGACGCTGCCGACAAATTTCATACATGCAGGCGTACATACAAACATACAACCATACAAAAAACAAAAMAAGCAAACGAGCATGTGCATGAACGGTGCACAGACGCTAACAAAGTAAGCCGAGCAGCAGTGAAATAGTGGCTGCTATTTTTGGATGACTGCAAACGTTTAGGGGAAGCAAGCTAATATTTGTAATTTATAAAAAAAAAGTTAAAAAACRAAAACAAAAATTATAAMAACAAAAACAAAAATTATAATAACAAAAACAAGAGAAAAAAACAAGCATAACAAAGCAACGGACGCCTCTGGCAGCGTCCAACACTGTATTTATGGTAGTATTACGTGAACAACAACAAACATACAAACAAACAACCTGCAATAAAGCAGGCTGCTAAACAAACTGTTTAACTTATTTCCTTTTTCTATGCAATGAAAACATTTAATGGCGATTTTTTCAAAAAAAAAAAACAACTGAGAAAAAAAATTTTGAAAAAAAATCAAAAAGCAAATAAGAAACTCTTAAAACTTTAAGCAAATGCGATGCAAAAACGCAAAAACAAACAAAGTCGATGTGATATTAATTAATGATAACTAATTCGTAGTAAGAGAGTAACAAATTAATGTTAAATTAAATTAAATTAAAGATAAAAACRCATAAAAAGCATTGGTATAAACACATTTTAAAATTTTTATTATTATTGTAATTTTTTTTTTAATTTGGCCTGCAGCAAACATTTTAGCAGTAAAGCAAAAGTYTATAAAACAACAATAACAAAACTGTGCGAGTACTGGAAGTGTTGCAGCTGCGCTGCGGCGTAGGCGGACAGCAAGCACCAACCACAGGGTAATTTTTTGCTGAAATTGAAGTTTGCAGTTTACCACCTTGGTGTCGCAATGACAAAGCATACTTTGTAGTGAGTTGATGTGCTAAAGTATGTATGTTTAGTATATTCTTCCAATGGTTTTGTGAAGCGGTTGGCTGTTGAGTTACTGTGTGTTAAAATATTATTTACAATTTTCGGTTAAATTTTATTATTATTTTTATACGCATTTTCAAAAAAAAAAAAA